TAGCCACGACGTCGGTCGCGTCTGTTCCCGTCTTTATAGCGTCGCGGACTTTTTTAGTTCATTTAAAGAGGAATCATTCTTTCGTTAATATTTTTTGGGTATCTCAACCGTATTTTCTTATAAGTAATTTTCCCATTCTTTTACATTTCTCGCTGTATCTTCACTTGTATTAGTCGCTGTGCAATGCTTTAAGCAACACAAAAATATTTTTTTCTATTCGATCCAGTAGTTCCTGAGATTACTATATTCAAACAAACAAACTTTTCATCTATATATATATTAGTATAGTTAGATTATATAAAGGTACGGGGATAAAATTTCACGAAAAAGCAAACGTTTCAGCATAACATTCAAAACGTAATAATTAATATTTCTCGTTATTCGTACTTACAAAGGAATTATTAAAATTCCTCGTGGATCTAACAAGTATTAATTGTGCTTCTGAAACATTGCAAATTGTTTTTAGGTTTGTTTGTCGACGTTTTTCCGCTCAGCAATTTTATCTTGTAATCGTATTATGAATAATTTATCTTTAGATTAAATTGAATGTACAAAGCAGTTTTGTATCCGTTTTATATTGCAACACAAACGGATACTGACGGGCTCGTTGGTCCTATATTAGGAATCTTCGGGTCAAAATTTCCACTAAAAACAACATGTTGTTTGATATATAACCCGAATATTGAAAATAAAAAGTTAATATTTATACTGATAAAAAATTATGTTAAAAATTTAACAAATTTATTTCTTTTAACTATTCAAAACATGTAAAACTCCGTACAGATAACCTGGACAATAGATGGGTTGTAGGTAAATCGAAATAACGTTCGGGTCACAGATGGTAAAGTCGTGAAGTGTAGATCCGCGTTTCAACCTCTGTCTGTGGATTTCTGCATTTCCTAAGCTAAAGTATGTGTATAGTATATTTATTTTATATATGTGGTATCATCATGTAAACTTCATGATTGTCTATCGTCATAAGAAATAATAGTTATCATGTTCGCAAAGTAGTTTAGATATTTGAATCGCGTGTGTTTAAAATACTTCGGAAGCGGTTTTTGATTCATTGGTATAGCTTTGACTAGAGAAATACCGAGATATTCCGGTTTTAATCAATCCTTTTTAAATTGGAATTTGGCAACTGTTTGTTTTCAAATTTACCGTTCAATCCTCAGTTAACTCGGTTTTAATTTACTCGGCTTAGGCTTTAGCATATTCTATACAAAGAGATTAATTTTTGTATAGGAAATTATGTACTTGATTATTTTTACAAACGTTAGAATATTGTGAAACGATAGAACGAACCCACCCCCAACAACGTACCGTGCTGTGTTCATTCCTTAAATATAACTTTACATGCTACAAAATCACGATTAATACTACAGTATCTAGCGTTAAAATATTAGATATTCTTATCGTTCTCAATAAAACACTTTAACGGCAGCCTCCTGCAGATCTCCTCGTGACCACAGCAGCTGCAAACCACCCGAAACGTCGGGCCGTAGTTACAAAAAAAAACAAATAAGTGTACCTAATTTAAATCGCGTTTTAAACCGTTAAAGTGTTTTTTATAATGGGTATTACTCGCGTTAATTACAAAAAGTATATTCTAAACGTTTATTTGATTTTTAAAGAACATATCTCCATCTGATTCTCGTATATACAACGCTCGTTATTTTTATGTTAGACAAACGTAAATAAAATAAACCTATCGTACCGGCAACTCGAAGAATGAATTATTACTTAGCCATCAAGTGGCGTGCTCTAAAGTGTATTGTGTTGCCAGTTGCCAAGTATAATTCTCTCTGAATATTTCACGGGGCAATAAATTGTGCTTTTATTATTGCATGCAACCTTCGTTCGTGTGGATTATAGTTCGAGGTTAAAACGGTTTTTGTTGTGTTGAATAAGTCGTGTATAACTTTATCGGGGACTAGAAAAGTCAAAGGTCGTAGTTTTATCTAAAGAAAGTTTAATTCAATTAGCTGTTTCGTACCGAGCAAAATATGATACAAAAAATTCTAGGTTTGCTTAAAATGGCGTCGTTCGATTTATCGGGATCAACTGCGTGTTTTTAGAAGCTGTATATAATAAGTATGAAATACAATTAATGTAATATATCTAAAGGGGATATATAAATGTAATATCCATTTATATATTATAATATGTTAACACTGAAGTGTTTGTTTGTTTGAACCCGCTCATCTCAGGAACTACTGGTTCGAATTGGAAAATTATTTTTGTGTTAGTTAGATCATTTATCGAGGTAAGCTAAAAATTCACACTGTGACTAATAGGATCGAAAAAAGACACACAAAGGAAGACACAGGGAAAATTATTCATCTTTGTAGGCTTGCGCTGCAAGAAAGGTTGAAGATATATATGACGAGTGATTCCTTTTTATATGATCTAAACAAATATCCCGGATTGTATATGTCTATCTTTTAAGCGGACAAAGTCGCTGATACAGCTAGTGAGTGTATCCCCCAGTTACAGTCACGTAATTGAATATTATTTTGAATTTTGAGCGAATTGAACACACGCCGTGCATACTTTCGACACATATTGGCATACCGAAGCCTAAAGTCGCACTCCCATTAGGAAATTCTTGGAAAAGCCCGACATTGCTAATAGAAATTCCAAAAAAGCCACAGAGCTTCTATTTTGAATTTCAAATTGAATAAGCATTTTTGTATTCGCGAAATCACGATAACTGCTGCAGACAGTTGCAAATTATGATATAGTTGTGCAATACTAACTGACGTTTCCATTCTATAGAGCGCAAACATTCTAATTTCATATATGATAAGTGTATGCTAAATTTTACAAAGTAAAACTAGCAAACAATAAAATAAAAAACGTTTTCAAGGTAGACTTTCTTTTGCGGGTAGTAGTGGAATTGAAAATTCAAACGTCATTTTTAAATACTGTCTATGGTTTATACGAGTTGTATACATTAAAGAAAACATTTTCACGGTTTAAAACGCGAGTGAACCCGTGACTCCGAAATGTCGGGCCGTAGTTAAAATAAATTTTAAATAAGATTAACAAAAATATTTCGCGTTTTAAACCGTAAAAGTGTTTTTTTTAAAGATTATTTTATTTTAATATACTCATATACTGAAAACTCGCAAACACAGTCAATTAATAAGAAAGCGTAAGACGTATATCAGAATGTTTTCTATATCTCACTGTATAACTCCAAGTTTGAATTGAAAAAATATTTTCGTGTTAGTTAGAGCATTTATCGATGAAAGCTATAGGCTATAAAACATCGCCCTGTGACTAATACAAGCGAAGATACAGTGAGAAATGGGAAATAAATTGGTAAAATTAGTGATCATTATGGGTTTCCGAGGCGTACGCTGCGAAAATGGTTTAAGGTACACACAAAATAGGTATGAGAGAATGATTTTTCTTTAAATTATCAAAAACATGTCCGCCACAGTATATGTTTATCCACAGTATATGCTTGCAAGAACGACGGAGTTTAAAAATGAAGAGATTTGCCAAAATTAAGCCAAAAATAACTATTACATGTAAATTAGTCGCGGAAACAGCTAGTCTAGTAATAAACTATACTATACTCTATCATAAATATATTATCCATAATGGCACTTTTAAAATTATTTTCTAAACCTCACGTCAGATATACGGAAATTAAACTCGCAGCTGTCCGCCAAAGTAATATAAGCTTAGTGAACAGACGTTTATTGAAAAATGTTGCCGTTATATTAAGCTGAAGAAGTTATCACTATAATCCCTACTATTCGTGCACCTGGGTCCTAAGCCGAGATAACTATTGCAAACGAATACGAAATACGAAAAAAATATATATGATTGTTTTACCTACATCACGCGTGAATGACAAAGTCGATTAAAAAGAGTTTTCTTTACGAATTTCATTATCGTTTTGTAATTGCAAAGAAACTATCACACTATGAAGACAATATAGTGTATTTCTCCTAACTTGGCAAAAGACCACAACAAATATGGCTGCTTATGAACCATAGAGAACTAGTGATGACCTTTTATAGAGTATATTCGTTGCCACAGCTTCTAGGATGTTTCTAAAATTAGAATAACTTAAGCCTATTTCGTAAGTTTCAGTTGCTTACCCGTATAACGACTCTTAAATAACTCATCTTAAGTCTTTCAAATTAATTGTGTTATGATGAGGCTAAATTATTTTTCCCGAACAGACACGGCTGTAATGGATTTGATATTGGAAAAAGAATTAGCACAGTATAATTTTTAATAAAGGAAAGTCACCTCAAAAAAAGGTAACTTTTTTGTTTTTATTTTAGAGTTAAAAAGAGTTAACATAATTTACGCTTGATCATCGCGTATAAAATGGTTTTATTAAATTTTCCTCTTAATACAATTATCACACGTTTTGTATATTTGATTCTACCTCGTAGGCGTGAACAGTTATATCGTGGAAATCTATTTTCTTTTAGAGGAAACGACGCTTATCTCTTTTACATTAGAAAAATATACCTTCACTAATTTAATATAACTGATTTTCTTTTCATTTGGTATGTTTTATTTCTAACGATTTTAACAATTTGTTATTTGTCTGCGAAGACATAACAAATCAAATTATAAACGCTTTGCTGTAATTGAGTTTAATAAAAAAAAGCTAACTTACTCTCAAATATATAAACGAAATTTACGACAACACAAACCTTAACACTTGCGTATTAAGGTAGAAATTATATTGCGCGAGAGGTGCATGTATCAATAGTTTGAAAGAAATCGACGATGACGTGTAGGATACGGTAGCTCAATTGGTTAGAGCAACAGCACGGAACACTGTGGATACCGGTTCAAGTCCTGCCCGTGTCGGATTTTTCCCAATTGGAATATTAAAGGTTTCAAATAACATATTAACTGTTTAAACTGTAAAATTTGTTTTAATTAAATAAAATTTCATAGAAATTGGGTCAGCCGTTTACAGCATACCGTTGGCAATATTTACACTCGCTTTTCTCTTACAGTTTGAAACGCGAGCATTCAACAACACCGGAGTATCAGTGACAAATAGTTCCTGTGACTCTTTACTGTGTGTGATCACAGTAAGACCAGAACCAGGCACTGCCAAGTATACCTGCGAGGTTTCCAGCGAAGGACCACGTTTTGCAGTTGACAGACGGTCCGCCAACATGACACTAGCTGGTAATTTTTTTTTTAAGCCCGTGTTAGATACATCTATGTCCAGATTTACTGGATACGTCTAATATTACGTTCAGGAATTTCTATTAAATCATCGATTAGAAAAAAATCCATGTGTTATATTTATTTCAAAGAGGCTTACCTACTTAGTATATAATAAAAGCTTAAAGCAAAAACAACTTAATACAATTTATGTGACGATAATGTATTTAAATCAAAGGCACAATGTTTTTTTAGAATAAGATGTAAAATATATGAAAGTAAACTTGAATGCGTAATTTAATAGCAATACTATGAAAGGGCAGTCATTTGACATTTCTTTTAATTTGGCTTTTAAATTTATACAATTTGTAGAAAATATCTATTGTATTATTTATTTTAAAAACACTTATATAACTGGATAACCTTTTGTAACGGAGCATTCAGAACGTAACTATTATTATTTCTTTGCTTTATGTGCTTAGGTTTATTATTGATAATATCTATATAATAGTAATGAAATTCCGTTTGTCCTCGTGGTAATGGACACAATCCATTATTTCCGCACCATAAGAACCCAGGACTTCTCGCGCTTAAAATAATGCTAGGCAACATGTTTACCAATTTAGCTAAAGCTGTACAGAGGCGGAAATTTAACATTACTTACAAATTATGGTCTGTGATTATTGCTCCATGAAATATAAATATTTTTCTCCAATTATTAATAATTCCGCTATCTACAGACCATACAATAACAGTCTAATTAACTAGGGCTCAGAATATAACTTTATCGTTTTAATATTTCCAATAACACACAAGACTATATCGTTCAGTTCTCGTGGACTTATTTCATTAAGTACTCTCTTCGATCTAGAAAATTGTATCTTTAATAAAAATGAAAGCTCTCAAGAATATTACCTGATTGTTAACGTCCAGTGGTCGGTATAGGGCAGTAAATATTAAAACCAATTAGACTTATATTTATGGAATTACTAGTGAAGAAATTCTAGCTTCAATGTTTGATACTTGCAAACAGTAATTAATCAGTTCTCGCGGAGCTTATGTCCGTAAATAATAGATAATCATAAGCGTTTGATGAATAGTGTATGTTTTAAGGGATCATATAAACGTCATAACATGTAAAATGTGATATCACATAATAAATATATGTCATAAAATGTGGGACGAATCGGTGACGATCTCTCGAATTTGTGACGTCACATAAAAATAATATTATTTAAGAAAAGTATAAAACACTTCAACAGCTTAAACGCGATATAATATATTAGTTAAACTTATTCGCAAATTATTTTTGTCAGTTTCCCCAAATACCTAATTCGACGGAACAGATGGCGCCAGCGTAGCAGTCCTTTACTTTGACGTCAGAGACATCCTCCATATTTAGTCTCCCCGTGATCACGGCTGCTGCAAAGCACCCGAAACGTTGGGCCGTAGTTAAAATCATTTTTAAATATGTTTGACTTATATATATCGCGTTTTAAACCGTTAAAGTGTTTTATTTTATTAAGTACTTCAGACAGTTTTTAAAAGAATACATTTGAAACTGAAGCTTTAATTCAAAAAGTCTAAAAAGGTGATTTTAGAATAGGGGGATAATAAATGTAAGATACGGAGGATAAAATTAAAGACGTGTAACGTTGTTTTAGAATAAGCCCATACATTTTTTAATTTTCCCCAGTATTGCAAGAATACGACCCGCTAATAACGGGCTTACCCACCATAGTGCAAGCAGGGGACGAAGCAATTGTAAACTGCACATCGGATCATACATTACCACCGGCCAGGATAGACTGGTTCGTGGATGCGGAGTTACAAGAGGTAAGGATATAAACTTATTAGCATGAATATCCAGTCTAAATATTTCACCTTCCATCAAGACTCAGTGCTTGTCTGTTCTCCTGTGACATGAGAGAAAAGATCTTCCGATCCTCTTAGAATGCTTTATAGTAGAAAGTGTACATAAAAGATTTTATAATTTTTTTTTTTTTTTTTACAAAAATGACAATATATTTTGTGCCATGCTGTGCTAAAAACCGTCTATTTATTTTTCCGAGATATAAAGTTAGAATGTTGAGGAATTTTGTCCTACATGACTAGCACTGCAAAGTGGCATATTGAACGGTTGTGCTCAATTTGTGCTATCTGTTTTTTTTAAGAAATTTTTTTCACAATAATATCTATTTAAAAATTATCTTCTTTTTTTACTTAAATTAGTAAAACATACTTGTTATCCTACACTTAGGCAAAATAAAGTAAGCAGACAGGTTTCACTTGACGAGGATACGATAATCCGTGTATGCCAGTTTAGACACTATAAACCCATCATATTTGATATTCACGAGCCATCCAAAACACAATAGATACTTATAGCTTTACGATATTATTATTAACTAGTTTAAAAGTACGATTAAGTAAAAGTATTTGACTTTTATATCGATACAAGCTGTGTCAGCGACTTCGTCGTCACAAATGTGTTTTTGCACACTTCTGCATCTTTATAAATTTAAGCTGCCCACGACATCGGTCGCGTCCCGTCTCTCGCGACCCGTCTTTCGAGTTCCGTCGTTAACGTTATAGACATTATATGTCGGGGATATTTTAGATCATTTAAAGAGGAATCATTCTTTCATAGATCTTTTTGGTTGTCTTGAACCGTTTTCGCAGCGTACGCATCTGACCCACAACCCACAGAGATGAAAAATTTCCCCGTTTTGTTTACATTTTCTACTATATCTTCGCTTCTATTAGTCACAGGGCGATGTTTTATAGCCTATATCCTCGATAAATGCTCTAACCAACACAAGAATTGTTCAATTCGAACCCGTAGTTCCTGAAAATAGCGCGTTCAAATAAACAAACAAACTCTTCAGCTTTATGTATTAGTGTAGATAGACCAGGCAAGTATGACGTTTGCTTGATGGAAGATGAAATGGTTTAGGCCTAAAACAAATTCGAAAATCCGATCTCACAACATCCAGAAGGTTGTAAGGTCGGAATTCCTCATACGATTCTTAATTAGGTTTACATAATTCAACAAATATTTACAACAATGTATGGGCCACTTATGTTACTATTCATGCATATAACATATATTTAACTTCCCTCATCTTCATTTACAACAGAATGTTTTGCAACGCAAAAAATACGATGATGTAAATCGTCTCTAGAGATTTATTTAACGAAACCACTTAAATTGTATGAACCTCTCGCGTTCTCCTGGCTATTGTAACTTATCTTTCCACAGCTTTGCAACAAAATAATAAGTGACAGACACTGAGTTATATTTTATGCCATCAAGAACAATGCCTCTGTGAGGCAGCTCCATTATAGCGTCTCACAAAAAGCGCGTTACCGCCGGAAACAGAAACATGAAAGCGTGATTATATCTTATCCTTGTTGGAAGGTCAGATTCGCACGGAAATCGCGAAAGTGTCCATCTTAATTTTGCTATACCCATACTTTTAAGAAATTATTTCTCTTACAAACAGTAGGCATCCATTTTGTATTTGTATCGTATAAAATAATCTTGGCATCACTGCGTTTCTTTTTTATACAGTAGTAATGTGGTCTTAGGGAGGCTTTATCTAAATAGAAGCTGAAATTTACTCTGATATTAACAATGAATGTATATAATTAAATTAATTAATTTAATTTTAAGTAGGTACACGTTTAAAGCCACGTGACGTCTGATACTTGGAAACGTCCGCGTCGGACCGTAAATAAAATGTTATTTAATAATACCGTTTCAAACGGTTAATGTTTTATTTAAATATTTCTATTTAATAAATAATCCAAGCTATATTACATTATTGTAATTTAGCTTTAAAAGACATTTGTAGTAGGTATCCTATTACTCTAAAAGCGACAAATAAGAAATTTTTCAACATGAAAATCTTTCCTATGTACAATAAACATATTTCGGGCACATTCCCACTATCAAGAACAATAACGAAGAGAGAACGCATTATCACGTACAACAAAAAACGTGGTAGTGTAGTTTTATGTAACAGAAATGAAAGCTTTTATTTTGTTGGATTTTCTCAAACTAAATTGTAAAATATTTGGAAAACTAACATGTAACATTTTATTTTAAAAGTCTTAACGAAACTAAACATTCTTTAGATATTGTGACTCGTGACTCGGCATTTGAGTCTTTCCTCTTTGTGGGTATAGAATAGACGTATTTTTGTTTCCTTTTCAGTCATTGATATTATTTACGAGTAATATGGTAATTTCCCTTTACACCCTGCATCTGAAAATAATACATATTATATTTTTCCGCAATTAAATTTCACATTCACATGACATTATATTTTTTTCCTTTCTATGCATTAAAAAGTTTTTGAAATTCTTATACACGTTAATTTTGACATTACGTTTCTAGACATGTCTCACAATTCATGTTTTATTCAATTTCTCATACCTGTTTATTTATTCGTTGTCCTTGGGTCCATTAACTTCTAAGGTAAACCCTTAGAAGTTTGAAGATACATATGTACTGTATTTTTAGTATCACAATGTTCAATAATTATTTTACTTAATAAAAATTACTTTAACAATATTTGAGTTAAAGTTTCGAAATTTTTAAGAAAAAAATTAAGATTTTTGATATATTATAGTACTTTTAAAAATAAATGTGGAACCTTCTAATAGAATAAAGGTGTAACAACAACAAAACGCACACTTCCTCGTATCATCCCATCGTGTAATAAACATTCGTGTTATATCGTAAATTCTTTTATCAAAAAACACGAGCACCGTGCGTTTCTCCGTATTCGGCCTTTCATTTCGTGGGGTACAAACATTACTTCCCCGAAAATAGCACGATTCCTCATAGAAGGTAAGCATTTCACTTTTTACGTCATCACATATCATGCGAAGGTAGTTTTATATCGTACGCGTTTCGTAAAATATTCACCGTTCAGTAGGGGAGCTACCGGCGCCATACAAACTTTTCGCGATAAGCGCTATACGGGGCCTAATCAAGATAAAAATACCCTCTACCTCCAGTAGGCTTGAAAAATATTGAAAAATGCTACACGTTTCTACCTAAGCCTTTATCAAACCTTAAGAATTGCATACCTAACTGTGCATATCTTGCTTTTGCCGGGCTTGATAGTCTAATGACAGTGTATGGCTACTAATCAACATGTCGTGGATTTAATCTCCACCAGGTTTAACGTGTCAAATCATTTTATTATTTTATAGTGCCATATTTATTACAGTAAGACAAACCCTATAGCGACATTTTCATCTCTGTGGGTTTCCGATGTGTACGCTGCAAAAACGGTTTAAGATAAAAATATGTATGAAAAATGTTCCTAACACTATATAACTATCTATAATAATTGACTGACAAGAATGACGTAACCCGAACGACAGGTCACAAGCGACGAGACGCATCTGATATTTATTTAGCAATAGGAAACAAACAGATATATTACATAAATAGATAAGGAATAACAATAAAAAAAATAAGGTTAAAATACATCTATATAAGCTAAATTATTATTTAATATAAATAAGCGAATCAACTCAAGATAATGTATGTTATAGTTACATACTGTTTGCTCTCCCTTGTCCTGTCAATTTGTAAAAATACACCAATTGTACATATAAAGACAATTTCTTTCTCTGTTACGAAGAAAACATAATTATTAAATACTGTCTATAGTTTACGCCAGTAGTACACATTTAAATAAAACACTTTAACGGTTTAAAACGCGATATATTAGTTAAACTTATTTGGAAACGATTTTTAACTTCGGCCCGACGTTTCGGATGCTTTGCAGCAGCCGTGGTCACGGGGAGACTCCGGATGACCACGGCTATATTGCGTTTTAAACCGTTAAAGTGTTTTATTTAAACATAATTATTTCTTAACAAAATCCACACCGTCATCAAGTTTATTAGAAATATTTCCGAAGCATTATAATTTTATCGCTGCGTTCATTTTTCTTATTTTGACGTATTAAGGAAATTAAAATGGCTGACGTTGTGGTTATTAATATCCGGTTTTATATCAAAAATGCCGAGCAAGAACTTCAAGCACAATAACATTGAAAGCTCTATAACTCCATTATCAGAATAGTAGTGTATTACAAAACTAAGTGTTGGCAACGAAATTACAAAATAGAACATGGCGCTCTTAATGTAATAATTTTTACAGAGCACTTATTTAAATTAAAAAGGAATTAAGATTAAAAATATCGTGGATGGTGATGTAGCCTAATTAGTAAAGTAAGAACAATTGGTTGTAGGTTTGATTCCCGCCCCCGTCATCAAATTTGCCCGATTTTCAATTAGTTTAAGCTCGTTAAAAAAAAACAGTACTGTCTCAAAAATATCTTAGTATAAATACAGCTACTTATTTCTTAATTAACTACCCTCGTTCTAAAGAAATCGCCATGGCCAAAATATTCTTAAGTTGTAACTTATCAAAAGATTTAATTAAAAGTTAATTCAAAAATACGTAATCATCAAGAATTCTTGGCACCGGCTCTTAACTTATGAAAATAATGTTTTAATAATGAAAAGGGTTCTGGCAACCCAATAAGGGAAATTAAACTCAGTGAAAGCAATCATGGCCGGAGCTAGCTTTCATTTTGTAACCTTTAATAAATTATTTTCTCAAATCATCATCGGATTATCTTTCGAGTGACAAAGGTAACTCGGTCTAATTAATTTTAACTGGAATTTCTGTAGTCCCAATTGGAAGGCAGATTTTGTTGCCGTAACGTGATATTATTATAATGAAGCATAAGTATTTATTAATTAAATTCTCGAACTGCGCTCTACTTGGCTGTTAATTAGCGAAAACGTTAAATTTCATTGACGTGTATTTTTATGTTTGACGCAAAGCCAAAACGATGAGTAATTTTGTAATCTACGAGTCTACTATAGAAGAATGATTTTTCCCGTTTGTTTCCACTGTTCCTTCGCTCCTATTGGTCGAAGTGTGTTTTTTTTATAACCTACATCCTCGATAAATACCGACACATAAATAATTTTTCAATTCGATTTCGAATCAATGATTTCTGAGATCAGCGCGTTCAAGGAGACTAAAAAACAAACTCTTCAGCTTTATAACATAACCGGGTTCGCGACCCGGACGGAACTTCGATATTCCTATCACCCATTTAACATTTATATTTTCTGAGGAAGTGCTTTTTATTTCAAAACAATTATAATTTGACTCGGTAGAAATCGAACCGTTGATTTTTTGCCATACACTGACAGCATTACATCGAAGGGCCCGTGAAATGTCTGTAGGGACAGGAGTAAGGAATCTAAGTTCTTATAAGATCGAACGGTGACTTACCTAGGTCAAATCACACCATAGAGATCCTATTAATCACGAATGAATAATTTAATTAGTTAGCATCTATTAGGGTGTTTGATATGTGAAGTATGTTGTTATTGATTACATTTGGGTGCACCGTGTTTATTAATTATGAGTTATAATGGAGTACTATGTACCTCATTAATTTAGATACATACCCATATAATTAATGACCCTTACTTATAAAATTACCGCCTCTGTAGCCAAATGGTTAAATGTATTGCCCAGCTTTGCGTTAAGCGACAGAGGTCCTAGGTTCGAATCCCACAGAAACTAAAAATTGTTTCAGTCGGACAGGGTACAGAAGTCTGATCAACTACTTGCCTGTTAAAGAACGTATCAGTAAAACGGACACAAAAATGTGTTCGACCCATGCCCCACGAGGGGAAAACGGGATTTCACTCAAGTTTCGCTCTCTTATAAAATGAAAATAGTATACGGATTAAATACTGTCAGTAGTTTACGCAAGTTACACATTTAAATAAAACACATTACGGTTTAAGACGCGATATATTAGTTTGACTTGTTTGAAAATTGTTTTGACTACCGCCGGGCGTTTCGGATGCTTTGCAGCAGGTCATGGGGAGACTAAAAATTGAATGTGTCTCTGACGTCAAAGTAAAAGACTGCTACGCTAATCCATCTGTTCCGTCGAAGTTGGTATTTGGCGAAACTGACCGGGTTCTTGCAGAACTGACTAACGCGTTAGTTAATCGAATCCCTTTGCCCTGTCCGATCAAACCGAAAACCTGCTAATGTATCGGGCTACCAGACCAGTAATAACTTAAACTTAATAAGTCATTTGTTTAACTACAGAATTAAATATTGCATGCATGTCGCTACTGTAAGCTTAAGACAAAGGAAAACTTTTTTATAATAGAGTGAGACAGACGAACATGGTGTTTTCTCTGGGATTGGTGAAATATCCCATCCATAAAATATCTACTAAATACGCTGTCGACCTATGTTGGCTTCGGATATTCGGAAATCTACAAACTGCAATCGAAGCGTTTAGGGTAACAAGCTCTGTATTGCGTTACGTAACGGTTTTTACATAAAATCTACAAACTGAAGCCGAAGGCAAGACCCCCCACAACGCGTTACGTAGCGGTTTTCTTTTTCATAAGATCACTTAAAATCTACTTACTGAAACGGAAGCGCAATAATTTCCGTAAAGCGTTACGTAACGGCTTTCTCTTTCATAAGATCACACAAAATCTACAAGCTGAAACCGAAGCACAAGAAAAGTGTAATGCGGTACATAACGATTTTCTCTTTCACACGATCATATTATCACTTCAACAAAGTCTTAAGCAAAGTACGTTATTCCATTAGTCGCGCGCCCGGCTCGTACACAATTGTTCGACCAATGAACCGGACTTCCGCCTCTAATGGTCCGGATATGGTCCGATCGCTCGTAATCACCCGGACAGCTGAGTGATTTGCGGCCAATTAGTCCAATTTAATTTTGGCTACCCTTCATGCACTTTATTCGGCTAGTCGCATTAAATCTAATGTTGCATTAGCGTGGCGAACTACAATTAAAGGTTTCAACTTAAATGTAAACCTTGTATTACCATTTTGTAAAGTTCGAATCCCGGGAAGAATAAATTGGTTTCAGTTGAGCAGAGCATAGATGTCATATCAACTTATCATTAGCACATATTTTTTAATTTAAATAAAAATATTTCCTTCATACATATTATTTACTTTCTTCGTCCGTTCTCGCAGTGCACGCAACAGAAGCCTTCAAAGATAATTAATTTTCCCCGACTTTTTCCACATATACCATTGTTCCTTCGCTTCAATTGGTCGCATCGTAATGTGCTTTTACAAAAATAATTATTCAATTCGAACTAGAAGTTTCCGAGATTAGCGCGTTCAAACAAACAAACTCTTTAGTTTATCACATTGGCATAGATTGCTGTATTTTTATTATTATTGTGTGTATCATTGTACTGGGAATAAATATATTTTATTAATTCAATGCATATATACTGTGGCCGGTATAATGACTTTGGGTAAAATATATTTAATGGCGAGCTTTTTGAAAACGACTAGACATCATACTACCCACTGTAGACCGCTGGTGCCCGTGGGAATGAAGTGAGTAAAGTTGTATGAAATATCGTTATAGAACTTTCTACGCTTCATTACATTCGACATTGTTGTTGAATTATATTATATACTATTGTATATATTATATTTGAATTAGTTTACTTCTGAAACGTTAATTAAAAATATAACTAATATTTTAGCATACTTTAAGAGTGCATTTCTATTGAACGAATGCAGAACCACATTGAGATACCAGGTACTTCACAAACATAACACAGAAAAAGACAAGGTGTTTTTTTTTATAATGGAGGATAGACAAGAATGGGACTCACGTGATAGCTGAAATACCCTAGTCATATAGCATCAAATCAAGATGCGCATGCGCTGTCGATGTCGATGTCGAGAAATTTTGCAATCTTATAAGATACGAAGCACTATAGGGGGGGGGGGGTTTTTTTTGCTTATTTTGATGAATGGGGGGAGGGGAGCCAATATTTACGTCATCGATATTTATTTACTTTCTGAATCAACTCACTTTCTTATTTTTAAAATTATACTTATAATATAACAAAATTTTTATTGAAAAATGTTTACGTAAGCACGAGGGAGGGAAGGGAGGGGGGTAAAAAATTTTGTTTTTTTTTTGTGGAAAGGGGGGGGGGGGGTTGTGGGGTTTAGTAATTGTAATAAATCTGCTTACGTAATACTTGAACGGCCCCTTATATAATAACAAATATCTCTAATGATAAGCATAACGTATTTAATTATATTTTATGTTTACATATACTTTTAACCGAAAAAAAAAGCAATTTATTTTAAGTACGTCCGTAGTTAAAACTGTAAATATGTTTACTAATACATTTATTTAAATAAGTACAACTCTCATAATCTACAAACAGTACCTATATTTTATATGGTCAATGTAAAAACCGAGTTTATTAGTTATGACGTGGCTATTCTAATTATATAAATTGCTCATTGTTTACGCTAGGACGTAAAAGTTACACATATTACTATAGAACAGCCATTTCGTTATTAGTGTCGTTTCGAGCGTCGTAACAATCGTGAATGTGTCAATATAACGTTGATGGTATTGCATCGGCGATAAAGATAAAAATAAACAATATCGAGACAATATTGCCGTACTATCAGATTTACAACACGTTCCATAAAACGATAATAAACAGTCATAAGTCGAGTTTATTGGTGAGATTTGATGGTTCTGCTCGAACCACATATTTAGTAATACAATAATTTTCTTTTGAAAATAAGTTTAACGTTCTTATTTTAAAACATCTTCTAATCTGGAAACGATTTCTGTAGCGCTACATATATTTTTTTTATATGACTGTGTAGTAAACTTATTTTTTTTTATTTAATTAAGCACAATCACAATTACATACTTACATAGATGCTATAACTTAACTTTAAATAGTAAAAAAAAAGAAAATTACGCAAAACAGTTATAGACAGACACAACATATAAAGTTATACAAAGATAGAGAATCATTAATCATGTTGCATTCAAGTTCGAGTCTGGTAATGGTTCCAATCAGTCCAAAATCAAATTTTAGGCAAAAAATAAAAATCTGTTTTGGATTTTTTGACTGGACACAATCGTTCAATTGGTTCAATCAGCAGCATGGGACGTTGTGGATGCCGGATCAAGTCCCGCCCGTGTCGTATTTTTTTTATTATGCGCTTATATTTTTTCAGTTTAAATTACAATTTTTCCTATTTCCCTAGGATCCACTTATAACGGGGGTGACCCACGTCTCGGGCGCAGATGCAGATGGATTACAGGCGTCGTGGCGAACGCTGCAGGTCTTCCCAGACGACTATTCGTCACACCGCGGTTACTTGTCGCTGGAGTGTCGCGCGACATTACCCACTCGACCGCTCAATATACGCAGTATGGCTGTTCGCCTGTTCGTCGCAAGTCGTCCCCACATATCCTCTTCTATGTTAAGTAAAAATAGTAAGTATCTAACGTAACTTAACGCAACCTCTATATCTGTCATAGAACTGATAAACTATGATAGACTACTTGTGGACTATAAGGGAAATGGAAGCCAGACTGAGTGGCGCCGTAACGCGTTACAGTTCTCTTCAAACTTTTTGGCTGAACTGAAGTTAGCGTGACCGCCATCTTGTGGGGTACTGTCAATTTTAAGCAAAAGTCGAGTCGCCCTTTACCCGCGCAACCCTCTTGTGACAACTGATACCTGATTTTGCCTTCTGCGCAACCATGCACGCTAACTTTAGCCCGGCCAAAAAGTTTGTAGAGAACTGTACGTATCGTTAAGGTTAGACAGACTTAATTAAATACTGTCTATAGTTTACGCGAGTAGTACACATTCAAATAAAACACTTTAACGGTTTAAAACGCGATATATTAGTTAAACTTATTTAAAAATGTTTTTTAACTTCGGCCCGACGTTTCGGATGCTTTGCAGCAGCCGTGGCAAACAAATGAAAATGAATGAAATAAGTTTAACTAATATATCGCGTTTTAAACCGTTAAAGTGTTTTATTTAGACTTAATTAAGACGAAATTACTAATTGATTCTAGAGCGTGAAAAAAGTACTAGGTCTATATTATTTATTACTAATAGAATAATTAGAAGAAATATGTTCTATTTTCGGACATTATTATAAGTTACATTTTGAATGACATGAATCATAAATGAAAATAAGAATAGAATTTTCTTTTGGCAAAAACTGAACATGACTTCCGTTGGTTCCGTGACACAACTCGCGTGTGGGCATAGGGAAACGCTAACATTGTAATGTATTATGAACATTCATCACAGTGTATTATTACGAGAAATCAACCTAAACTAATATTATTATATCTAGCGTTTGTTTTATTAGTGACGCTTGTAGATCCTTGATTCGTATTCTTGTAGTGAATGTGAAAACATCGTGATGCGACTAATATCTGTGGTTAAGTCACTAGTCGGTTTTATATTCAGACGAGTGTTTCATCCAACATCTGCTTTCTGTCTAACTCAGTGTTTCCCGGGTTTCGAAGCATAGACACTTATTTAACTGAGCTACAACAGAGCTCTGAAGGTTTTTATATCTGTCATAATTTTCAATTGTTCCAGGTGTATCTAGCTGTAGTACGCTACGGGGTCAAGCCGGTTTTAGTATGATATTATGGACAATATATTCGCTGCTAAGAAGACAAGTGACCTTATTAGTGATATAGGACTTGCAAGTGCGGTTGAACGAATATAGTATATGTGGTTTTAAATGTTAATTTTAATGTTTCATATGTTGCTGTCAATTATTTCGAAATTCTAGTGTAAGGACTGTTTAAATATTAGTTTGATTACTATGATTGTTTACAAAAAACCTTGAGTACGTTACGTACGTACTTATCCTAACTAATCCAAAACTCAAAATAATTTCATGGGTACTAATGACACGCTACATTAAAAAACTTTTTCAAATATGCTTGGAATTTGAGCATTATTTTGAAAAACTCCTCCGAAATAAATCGAACTGGTCGATAAGATACTGGTAGAGCAGCGGTCGGCAATAGTTGTATAAAAATATATACCTGTCGTGTTTAGCGGCCAAATATATTACTACGTTAAATTCTATTTTTCGTTTACAAAATGGAACGATCGTCTACTCCGCAACATGGCGACCAAAGAGGAAACTTAGGTTAATAAACCTTTAATTTCTATATGGCTTGCACATATAATGCTGTTTAGGGGATACAAATATTTCGTCATTTGTCTAAAGCAAGCAGGTTAGTTGTAATTTCCACGCCTCATTTGAGAAAAGAACAAGCCGTGGCCGCAAATAGGTATTAAAGGACTTAAGTTCACCCATTCGTCCATGAATGCCTCTCTTGCCGGTTCCTGCAATAATGACTGAGACTGAGATCTCAAAGAAAAAACGTAGGTTAGTTTGAGAAGTTAGTTGCCGAAACCAAACCCCTAAGTCAGGTCCTCGACGTTCGCCTCTCGCTCTACAGTGGAATATACTGTGCGCGTGAGGCTTTCACGGCTTCGACTGCTTTCTCTAGCCAGCCGGTGACATTCGTATCAAACCTTATGCGCGTGCGCTGTTGTAACTCCGTCATCCATTTAACCCACGTTATTTTATTATTTACCTCACAAGTTTTCATATTATTTTCACCTAATCAATCGAATTAAAAGTCCTACTAATTTTAATTTTCAAAATTATAATTGTCTTGACATACCTAACCAATCAAATGGTAAAATTAAAATACTTTAAACATAATAGACAAAGACATGCAATATGTTTTGCATGTTCCATAGTCAATATAGGAAACCGATTTATATAAAAGCCATAAAAGGAGGTGAAAGTTTTTGATTTTAATGTGTAAAACTTATTAGGCCTTTTCTATGCATTATAAATGCACGTTTTTCTACTTTAAGCGCACTATTGTATATAAGTATATTTGTTGTATAACAACGATTAAATAAAGTGTATAAATTTAAATTTCCTTGTAGGTATTGAGTACAGAGTTACATGAAAATTGCTCATCACATTGTGTGTTAATTAATTAAAATATAGAATTTAGACTAGAGGAGTTTTGTAATGTTTCTTATGTAACTCTGTACATTAAATTTTAATATTATATCAGTTTGATAAACTGTTTCTTCTGTAAATAAATATTATAACAAATATAGATATGTGCCAAACATATATTATGTGTGTAAAGTTTTATAAATAAAATTACGATACACGAAAAATTAGATAGGTAGTTAGTTTTTGTTGTATCACTTAAAATTTGTTGTAAATAATATTTGTAGTAGAGTCGTTCTATATAAATTTGTAAACCAGTTATAGTATATACAAAATAATGCGCTGTCCATTTTTTTGTAAAAACGTACATTTTTGTAAATGTTTAAGGCAACTTGTATTCAAAGCTTGGATTTCAAAATTAATCAGAATAAATAAGACCCCTTTTCCGACTACCGAACATAATTTCGAATCCAACGACGTTAGCCAACATTAAATAATTCAAAACCCGTTCATGCAAGCCCAAATTCCATTAAAAATTCTCTTTTTACACTCATTTTCCTCAAAGTTAACCCAAGGCTGGCTATAATCCAACTTAATTTAAAGTAACTCTTAGAATTCTTGGAACGCAAGATTTATATCCGCAAGTTAGATGTTTGAAATATTCCTTATCTTCTTCCCGATTGTGGACTCAACAAGTCCCAAAAATCAAGAATTGTATGGTTCAAAACATGAATATATTTATCCACGAAGTCTTGTCTGTGGACCCGTTTCCTATTAATAACAATAAGGTGAATTATTTGTTTAAAATAGAGCCCTACCGAGGCATCCAATTCTACTTGGGCCAAAAAACACAAATTCCAAAAACCGTTACGTATCCCTACTAACGAATTACCATATTACTGGATGTAAAATTAAGTTTCTAAAGTATGCTAAAAAAGAGAGAAAGAGTGTCAGATAAACCGCCATTGTTTTTTGCGCTTCCCTCCAACACATTTCCGCCATGTTGTTTTTTGGCATTACATCGTCATGTGTAGAACCAAATAATCCAAATATGTATCATCTATATTGCGAAATTGTACATCCCGTAGAACAGTAATTAATAACAAATTATCCATCCACCGTTATCAGCCTTTATTAATTAACAATGCAATATTAGGGAAATAACGTAATTCAGAGTATTACAAATTTGAACATCATTAGCACGTTATAACGCGTAAAGGATTAACACAATTCCGGCTTGAACAAATAAAAGGCATTGATCCGGAGGGATTGAGAATTTGTAATTCATCATTTATTATCGTCATTCAGCATAGCTGTGTTACGATAAATATATATCGGAATTTAAATCATAAATATAATTTAAATGTCTTTGATTATTATCATTACTGTTTCTGTATTCGGGATCAATTTTATTGACAATTACTTGGTTAAGGCGAACGCCAGCTTCTCACCTTATATATACCAAAGTTTATGATTATGTGGGAAATTGATAATTGTGTTTCAATGTATTCAAATTCTCCAATATGATTTAATGAAATTGTAGGTACTAAAAATATTAATTAATTTTCTCTTAAACAAACGTAAATATTTCTTTTTCTTCAAAACCCAATAGAGTGGGGAAATAGACCGCCTCTTTGACTTAATAAATAATCGTATTACGAGTTAAGTGATATTGGTTCTGAATTCGAATCTCAAGGAGATATAAAGAGAAAAATACATCATCTGCCTTATTGTCCGCGTAGTAGAAACGAGGTTTTAAGCCAATAATATAATAAATTGCCATAGTTCTCCGAAAACTCATCTCCATATTAATTTGACTTATTCTTTTAGTCTATCGTCAGAATGGAACTTGCTTAAACAAACCCCGTTCAGAAAGTTTTGACAGACGATAGGGAAGACAAACTGACCTATCTTCTATTTATCCAGTCAACTTTGCCCTGCCACATCTATCATTATAAATTTATTATGATGTACATGTATTTCTGGGATGGTGACAGATTAATGTTATTCCAACAACAAATGGTATGAAGACAAATACCGTATATGTGTAGTGGTATTACGTTTACAGATTTGATCCGGTTGAAAAAAAAACTTTTTTACACTTTTCTTTAGGTATAATAACACACAATAGAGATTATTCTTGAGCCAAAATTACTATCTACCGTCAACAACATCATGTACTTTTGGTTCTGCCAGCGGTCAATACAACTTGTATAAAGATTGACTCTACTACACATGTTATATATTAAAAGTAATAAAATGTTGTTTCTTTTATTGTGACAAACATGATTGCCAGTCTTCGAACATCCCTTATATTGTTGTAAAAATTAAGTGTTTTGACATAGTTATGCATACATGTGATAATTTGTTTTGTTGTTATAAAGTTTTGTATAAAAATTGTACAGTGGAATATCTCAATGTGAATAATAAAGATTATTAAAAATGACGATGGTTTTATTTCATACCTTAAGTGTTGTCTGTAGTTTACGTAAGTAGTAAAGATAACAAAAAAAATACTTTTAAACGGTTTAAATCGCGAAGGATATTTAGTTTAGTTACTTTAACTTATTTACAATCTATTTCAACTACAAACCGACGTTTCGGATGCTCTGCTTATAACGGTTTAAACTGTTATACAGCAATAAAAGTATTTAATTTTCACGCTTAACTTAGAAAGCAGAGATCCTAGTTTTATAAGCCAGGGTGCATAATGATTGTTTCGCTTGGGCAAGACCCGGAAGGCTGATCCCAGTCACAAAATTATTTAGTAAGATGAATACCGGAGTTCTTTTCTTAGAGCCACACAAATACGAAACGAAGTGTAATTTAATTACAGTTTCATACAAACCACTGGTTGTTATTCGATCGGAAATAAAGTTTTAAAACTTTTCATTATTTGTAATTGACTTGTAACTTTATATAATTTGTCTTGTTTTTTAATGAATTATGTATTTGCACGTCATAACTGTTATATGCATTTGTCACGTACTGTATGAATATATCTATACTTATATATAAAGCGAAAGAGTTTGTTTGTTTGTTTGAACGTGCTAGTCTATCTAACTATCGGTTCAAATTGAAAAAATTGTCGAGGAAAGCTATAGGCTAACAAACATCGCCCTGTGACTAATACAAGCGAGACGCAGCGATAAATGTGAAAAAATTGGGACAATATTCATCATTACCGGTTTCCGAGGCGTACGCTGCAAAAACGGTTTGCGATACCCCAAAAATATGTGTGAAAGAATGATTTCTCATTATATCCCATTATAAAGTCCGCGACGCTATATGTCTATCTTTTAAGATAAACTTGCAAGAACGACGAGAAGGGACGCGACCGACGTTACGGGTAATAACTTAAATATATATAGATGAAGGGGTTTGCAAAAAAGAATTCGGATGCAAAGATGAATATTCTTAGCGGAGTGTATGAATGTAGTTTAACGGCGGCAGACCAGTAAATAAATAAATAATTTATTAATTGTATTATAATAAGATATTATCTCTAACTATTTAGTAGAATATATCATCTGTCAAAAGGGTTAAATTATTTTATCATGAAATTTCACCTATGGCTTAACAATGACCTTCTATAGAACAGGTCCTCACCTCAACCTCCGTGCTCACTCTATCATGGATTTACATCTATGATAGCTATCATTTTGCTATTGCTAAGGATGCCTTCAGTTCATCGGATCTTCCTTT